GAGGAGGAGAGAAGGAGGAGGAGGACGGGGAGGAGGAGGAGGAGGAGGAGGAGGAGGAGGAGGAGGAGGAGGAAGACGAAGAAAGGTGTGGAGTAGTAGATGAATTGAAGTCAGAGGGTGGAAAAGTGTCAAGGTCAAGACAAGAAAGCATCTTGGGAAGAATCTTTTGAGATCAAGAAGTCGAGGAGCAGATGAGCAAAGAGGTACAAAGAAAGTTGTTCGAGACTAGGACGGAGGAAAGAGAGGAATGAATGCTCATCGGGGATACACATACGTCTCCTCTAGGATACATCGGCATACACACATGTTACCTTGGCCCACCAATCGATGAAAGTCTCGAAACTTAGACCTCCGTCTCTTGAGAGGTTCAGCTTCTGCCGCCCTGCTGTCAGGCACTCCCAGGATGCGACGATACACGCACATCGAACAGCAGCTCCAGGTCCTCGTTCCCGGCCTGCACGTTCTCCTGCAGTGATCGTCAGCTACGACGAGCAGAGTATCTGACAGTAGAAGCAAGGGATGGAAGAGCAGGAGGGAGGACGGTGGGGGAGGAATAGGTTGGGTGGGGAGGAGAAGAGGACGAGGAAAAGGAAGAGAGGAGGAGGCTGGCGGTGTGGATGGTAGGCTGTAAGTGGTGGAAGAAGATTCAAAAGCAAACAAGCAGGAGAACATCTACGACTTGTTTGCTGACCTTGCGTTCTCCGAGGTATAAAAGCATCTCAATGACTTCATCCCTTTGATTGCAAACTTAGTCATCAGCGCGGCTCTTTGACGTTTTTTTCTCTGACTGCGGTACCTTTGCAAGGTTCCGTCACCATCCTTGTCGACGAAGTTGAAGACCCTCTGGAGGAACTGAGTTTCCTCTGACGTTGACGCGTCAAAACTATGTAGGACGACGACGAAAATTCAAGAGGAGGGAGGTTTGAGGGGGGAAGCAGAGGAGGAGGAAGAGGAGTGGAGATAACAGAGGGGAGCAACGAGCAGGAGAAGGAGGTTGAGGTGGAAGAGCAAGTGATGGATGGCAGGAATTTACCGACAGTGATGAGAGCTGACTGCATGAGATGTCAGGCAAGTCATGTGTGAAAAGTGGCAGGACGAAGAGTTGGAGGAGCGAGGAAAGAATCGAAATGAGAAAAGCGTACGGGAGGAGAGGGGAGGAGAGAGGATGGGTGAGGAGAGGAGAGGAGAGGAGAGGAGAGGAGAGGAGAGGAGAGGAGAAAAGAGGAGAGAGGAGAGGAGAAATGAAAAAGGAGAGGGCAGCAGATAAGGGGAGGAAGAAGATCAACCTTGACAAGCTCTGCTGCATTCATCAGTCGTTCATCCCCCTGCTTCTTTCTCTTCTGCGTCCACCACTTCAGGGATCAGATTCAATGCAATCATGCCCGCCACCTTTGCTGCACTCAACTTTGCTTCTGCTGCTGCTTCTGCTTCTGCTGCTGCTGCTGCTGCTCCTCCTCCTCCTCCTCCTCCTCCTCCCTCCTCAATGTCGGCATATGCCCCCGTTGTCTCCTCTCGTGACTCCTTCACTGCGGCTGTGTCGGTAATGGGTATGGAAGGATCCTGCAAGGGGCTGGTGAGAGGAGTGGAAAAATGAAGCGGATGGTAAGGAGAGGAGGAGGAGCAAGAGAGGCGAGGAGAGAAGAGTGGAAGAGCAGAGAAAAGGCTAGTTGGTCATGTGTTAGGAGAAACAGGACACGAGGATGAGGATGAGGAGGAGGAGGGGGAGGGGGAGGAGGAGGAGGAGGAGGAGGAGGAGGAGGAGGAGGAGGAGGAGGAGGAGGAGGAGGAGGTGGTGGTGGTGGTGGAGGTGGAGGAGGGGAGCGAGGAGGCAACCTCCTGAGCTTCATGATGGTGATAGGTCTTGAACTGATTCTCCTGCATGATCCTGACAGTCTCGGTCAGCCTCACTTGCTGTCCTTCCTCCCTC